GTGCGGTTTTGTCCCGCCGGTTGGTGAGGCGAGGCGCACGAGTTCGTACAGGGCGAGGCGCCGTGCAGTGCGGTGTCGCGTGCGCGTGGCGGATGGGCGGCCGGGGACGGGTGGGTGGGAGGTGAGGCGAGACTGTTGGCAGCGCGGGATATTTTGATGGACGCCGCGGCCGCGGACGCTGACGCCGGGGCAGAGATCACATGGGACAGAGTGTGACATGGATGGCTGGCGCCCGGGAAGATCGGAATTGACCGGCCGACGAGGGGAGAGGACTCATTCGCTCGGAGGAGTGACCAAGCGCGGCGGGCCCGTGGCCGTGGAGACGTCGTGGCCGGACCCGATTCGCCCACGCGCGCCGTGCCCACCGCTTGACTTCTCCGCTCGCTCTACGCCTCACCGGGCGGCGCGGTTAAAAAACCAAACCGCTCTACACGGTCGGGTCTCACAGCTCGTACTCCGGTGAGTGGCTGACCGGTCCCTGTCTCTGCGTCGATCGCCCTCGGTTCATTTATCTTGTCTTGATGAAACAATAAGAGAAAGACGGCTAACTGCTGCTGGTAACTGACAGTAAGCAAAAGGGTAAAGAAACGATGTTCCACCCAAATCCATGCTATAAACTGGAGTGTACCACGTATAGCATCGTATAATCCTAGATCTTGGGAATCAAAGGGAAGGTGCCTATCTTGGTTGCATCGATGCATTGCGGCTAGCGGGGGACCGGGTGACCACCACGCCGGCCACGGCTATCCAGATAACCCGGCTGGTCCTACACGGTGCGGCATGGGCATGGCCAGCCACTACATGCCCAACTAGCTAGTTTCGGGCCAACTAGTATCCAATAATGCGGCGCCATCCCTCTCGTGGCCCCCATTCCACTTATGGTCCAGTTTTGGGAATTTCCCGGTGCTCATGCAATGCATATATATGCATGCATGCATGTAGTATGATACTTTTTTTTCTTTGTGGGCAGATGATATGTACTACGTGGATATATGATATGTTCTTTTCACACGAGATATTTAGTCAGTTATTTAACCTTTGTGTGAGAAGATTGATTTTAAACTCTTTCGTCCCTCCCTCAAACGGAGTAAAAAAATCTGAATTATATTTGTTTTGTGCATAGTGCTTGTTTTACATATTTAGCCCCCACCGCTGTCCTTATGAAATACTCCCTCCGTCCAGTGGCGAAGCCGGAAGTTCAAAGTTGTGATGTCAAATACATATGCGTGTATGAAATTTGTACTGGGTTTGTTTGAAGTCTATTGGTGCATGCTAAAATGTTGTGTAGTCAGTTGACTACATAGCTAACCCCTGGCACCGCCACTGCCTCCGTCCCATAATATAATAGCGGTTTTGGCACTACACTAGTGTCAAAAACAATTTTATATTATGTGGAACGGAGGGAGTATCTAGTAGGCGGGCAGAATGTAACCCTGAATAGTTGTCGTTGTCGTTGCTCTTTTTTTTAATAAACTTGGTTAAACTTTGCACTGTTTGACTCCAGACAAAATTTATATGCTTTCTTTTCCGAGCAAGGACAGGACATAGTAGGTTAGTATGTTTATACACAGCTTAGTTCATTTTGAGACTGTTAGGAAATAACTGTTTCAAATTCTAAGTCAAGCCTAAGAAGTATCTGATATGAACATTGAAGTATCCTTTCTTTGAAAAGGTATAGGGGTTGATGCCTACCTGAATGAATACCATACAAGTTGTGAAGCGGCTAAAGATTGTGTTCATAAAACATGTAAAAGCCTCCCCACATTGCTATTGTCCTCTTGAACTGCCATGATGGACTTCGTTGGCGACGGTACGTGCAAATCATTGGTGTCGCCAAGGTCACCGTGAGAGCGCCACCTGTTGAGAGCAAGGAACCAACACTGCCATGAGTTGAAGGTGATAATGATTATATTACATTGTATTCACGAGTTATTAAGTGTTCTTTGAATAAATATCATTTGTGTTGACTAATAGGGTGACCTTTTTGTGAAAATCTATGCTTCAGTGATTATTCCAAAGTAGTCCCTTTTCAAAATTCTCGTGATGAGACTTATGAATATTAGACTAGCACATGTAATGGTTGATGGAACCAACACTGCTATGAGTTGAAGGTGAGTCACACATCCGTTAGAAATATGCCATGGAGGCAAACATAGTAATGATTATATTTTGTTGTATTCATGAGTTATTAAATGTTTTTTGAATAAATATCATGTGTGTTGATTGATAGCGTGACTTTTTTGTGAAACTCTATGCTTCAATGATTATTCCAAAGTAGTCCCTTTTCAGAATTCTTGTCATGGGACATATGAATATTAGACTAGCACATGTAATGGTTGATAACTATGTTTTTCCCGGTTATGGGCATGGAAATACCAAACCAATAGTGTGTGCACATGTTAAGAAAATAAGGTTGGACAAACCTAAGTTGACCCACAACGGGGATGCTTTTTAGTTGTCTCTTACAATGTATATGTGATGTCCTTAGAGCTAAGATTGTGGTACATACTTGATGTATGTAGACACTTACTTAGGGGTTGCCAAATGTTATGCCGTAACGGGGTAGTTATAAATGTTGCTTTCTTGTTTTTCATGAAGCATGCTATGAGGCGTGGCCAGTCAACATGTATTTTTCCCATCTCTATAATGAGAGAGATAGTGCTGGGCCTCGAGTGATCATTCTAAAAATGCATGGCCATGCTACTTAAGGTTAAACATTTAACAAAATAAATGATTTTGAGTCACATGATCGATAAAGGATGATAGAGCTTTGAAAGTGCATTTAGTCCTCTGAGTGTCTTTGGTGTCCATGAGTAGGATCAGTTGGAGTAACATGTTTACCAATTTATCCACATATGATTGATCATGTTTCATGGGAAGGATGGTAGAAAATAGGCCCCACCCCAATTCAAAAAGCGAAAAGGTGTCGGTTCTGATCAAGATACTTTGTAGATTTTTGGTTATTTGAGTCCCAGGAAAAATCGCGCTGTTAAGAAGGGTTGAAGGTTCAAGTGTGTGGGTCATCATAGTATTTCTTTACGTAATTCCTACCACAGAGAGGCCAAACATTATTCCAAGATTCTCTCTCTCTCTCTCTCTCTCTCTCTCTCT